TGGGGTAAGAGTGGGAGCTGCTTGGAAGACGCTGCTGGCTCTGTGGCCGCCTGCAGTTGCACTACGCTCAAAGACTCGCGTACTCCGGCTCCTTTTTTGTTGAGACTGTAACATTGCCCTGAATCCCGTGCACGCGCATGTCCAAGGCTTGAGTCTTCGCCCGCCGCGACTCCACGGTCACCAGGTCGGGGCGAGAGGGTGAATGGGATTTTCAAGTTCGGCTTGTTCCTGTGTTCTGCTGAATTTGGGTTAGAGAAGACTCCAAGCTGTATCTTTGTCAGGAACGATGTGGAACACGATGGCTTGCTCGAAGCATGGCACCGCCGTGCGCATTCGAGGGCGAAAATGCTGCTTCCAAGATGCTAAGATGGACACATGGCAAGCTGGCTGACCTCCGCGGCCCGACCACCGGCTAAGGGGTCGAATGATTACGAATAGTATTCCCTTACAGTTCCTTCTATATATCTATGCTAGATTACCCCCGAAAACCCTATTCTAATTATTCAGGCCCCTAATATTACCGTCTGCACCGGCTCAAGAGGAAAGCGTAGCGCTGCCCAATGAGCCATCAAGAATTCAGAATCTAGCCGAGGTAGCCGACTGCACCTTCGCTCGAGGACTTGATTCTAGCCGGGGCGTCTAAACCCCAAATCCTAGAAGTCATGAAGCTCCCTCCTGCAGACCTCGACGCTCGCGCGTCGAGCCCCTGACCTACTCAGTTACCACCCCACGAAGCAAAACTCAGAACTGAGAGTTGGACAGAATACTAGGGGCCCTGAACCCCCAAAATGGGCACCAATCCCCTCCGCAAACCCTAGACCCCAAGCCCTATAAACCCTAAACCCTACAGACTCCCCGCCCGCCTCTCCGACTTGGCGCCGGGCGTCATGCGATCATGGCTTACCCAGGAGGCGGACGGCTCTTGACTGCGGGGCTTCGGTTTTTGCTCTTAGCAGTTTAAGGGTGTAAGGTTGAGGGTTGATACAGGTGTTAGGGATTTTGGTTATAGGTGGCCAAAGAGGTGTATTTCTTTGTTGAGTCTTCCGCAGTGCGAAGCACTGTGTGGACAGTCCTGCCCTGAAGGTGACAACGTCGATGACAGCGTGGTCTTCCTCTGCCTGGAGGCTCACCAGCATTCCTTTAAACCCGAAACCCGAAACCCTAAACCCCAAACCCCAAACCTTCAACCCTAAACGTTAAAGCCTACCTTAAACCTTAAACCCTAACCCTAAACCCAATGCCATGAAAAGCCCCATACCCCCCCATACCAGGCCAGCGATGTTTTGCTGGAGCCGATGCCCGGACCCCAGCTGCTGGGCCATACGTGAAGTGCAGCTCAAGCATGTTTAGGCTGACAGAAGGTGTTCAGAGTTTAAATGATAGTTTGGATCGTGTGGGTTGACCCGTCTTCGGTCTTGGGTCAAGGCGCTCTTTGGGCTCAGGCTTATAGGGCCTTAAAACCTTTATTCCCTCCATCAGGTCGCCTCGGAACCTGGAGTGATTCCCATTCTCGGTCTCGCGGCACTCTGGACTCGGTAGACTTTAACATCACCTGGCCCTGGTAGGTGCAGCACGTGGGAGCTGCAACAGGCCAGCTTGCGCACAGGTTTTTCGGGCATCTGTTCATGGGGTTCTCGGTTGCTTGGGGTTTCAGGGGATTGGGTGGCTATAGCTTTTTTTGGGCGTTTCTTGCAGTTTCTTGAGCACCTGGATGGACGAAGGCGATATATCTATCTAACCCAGTGGCTTGAAAGATAGAAGCCGGGGCTATAAGGAAGGGATCTTCCGAGAGTGCACGCGAGAGAGAGAAGGGCAGGGAACAAGAGAGAGCGTGGGGGACCTTTATCGGGCGGCTAGAAGGACGCTCTGCACAAATGCCTGTAACGAAGACCTGAGCCTCTAGCCCGCAGAGCCACGACCCCCAAAGCCATAAAGCTCTAGAGCCCTAAGTCCTTGGGACCCTTGTCCCTGAGAGCCCAAACATTAAAAGGCCGGACACCCTGAACACTACCATCTCCCTAGACCGTGAATCGGTGAAAGTTAGGCCCTAAATCCCTAAACCCTTACACCCCACAAACTCCACTCCCCTATCGCCAAGCCAGGAGCTTGTTCCCTATGTTCTCTCGCACTCGCTGCAGTCTCGCCGTCTGGTATTCTAGGATTCCGAAGGGATGAGTTTAGGGTTTAAGGTTTAGGGTTTAGGGTTGGGTTCTGCCCAACCTCCTTATTAGCAGGCCTTAGCAGCTAGTTGTTAGGACAATTGCTTTGACCATTGTTGAGGGTTCAGGGTTCAGGTTTTCCGTTGTAGTTCGGGTTCAGGGCTTCGGCGTTTTCTTGTTTAGGTTTCAGAGCTTCGGGGTTCTTAAGCACACCCATGGCACCTTAGCCCTAAACCCCGCACCCGCAGGCTTTGTGTTTGGCAAAGCCCCGGTGCCCACGCCAGGATCATGGGTTCCCCAACTCCCCCCAACCCCCCCTTCCTCCCCCCCCAGGTTCCCCCCAATAGTTACGGCTATTTAGGGATAGTTGAGAATTAAGCCAAATTAAGGTCCTGTAAGGGGGGAACCTAGGAGGGGGCGGAGTACTTAGAGGGGGGGTAGTAGGGAAACCCTAAACCCTAAACCCTAAACCCTATACCCTATACCCTCTAAACCCTAAACCCTATAAACCCTAAACCCTAGAAACCCTATAAACCCTAGAAACCCTAAACCCTATAAACCCTAAACCCTAAACCCTAAACCTTGGATGACAGGAATGACCTTTTCCTGAAGCTGCCGAAGGCCGAGCGCCAGGCGGGCTGGCGGGGAAGATGGGCGGGGGGAGGAGGAGGTGTTCCACATCAGGGTCCCTTCCCTGTCTTTGGGTCCAACGTATCAGGGAAATCAGGGAAATTAGGGTTTAGTGTATTCGTGTTAAGGGTAGTAGGGTTGAGGGTCTTCATTATTCAGGGTAGAGAGGGTGTTTGGGGAGTTCAGGATGTGCGCTTTGGGGTTTTTGAGGGGCTTGTTTGAATCCGGCCCCTTGCAACTCTGATTCAAAGACTCGTGGTAAGCTACAGAGAGGTTCTAACTACCTTAAACAGGGTAATAACATAGGCTCTCTTACCTGTGCGATCTGTACCTGCATCTATATCTGCCCATGGACCTTCAAGTAGCTTTAAACCCTAAACCCTAATTAAACCCTAAACCCTATAGACCCTAAATCCTAAACCCTAACCAATGCTGTCCACCTCTGACAGAGGCCCAGGTGAAGATCCTGACGCAGCGGATCCTCAGCGGCGAGACAGGGCAACCAAATGGTCCTGAGCTCAGCATAGCACTCCAAAAAGTTGGAACATCCTTCTCCCCATGCCCCAAAAGGTATACTAAAGGGAATCCCAGCTCTAATCATCCTACTTTCCGGAGTTCGAAAGAAAATTTGCGATCCCTAGTCCCCCGAACAGAAGGATCCCATTTTTCGCAGGACCCCCAAAAGGTACCCCTAAGTTCGGAAACCTGCAAATAAAGGACATTCACGGACCGTAGGAATCTTACGTATCTCAGAACCTTAATCCTAGTGACCGGGAGGATGTTAATGTGGGGACTAATGGGTGTTTTGGGGCACTTGAGGATGAGTTGTTGATTTTAATTGTTGACGTTTGCACGGCTGAAGCCCTGAACCCGAAAATGTCAAGCTAGATTTCTAGGCTGCTCCAAGACAAATGCAAACCCTCAACCCCGAACTCGAAAAACCAAGCAGGCCTTCATGGGGCCTAGGGGGTTTAGGGTTTAGGGTTTAGGGTTGTATGCTCCCTGAACCCTAAACCGCAGCACCCCTGGGGCACGACCAGGGGAGTCCTCCGCTGACGATGAGGGCGCCTCACCCTCTACACCCAGGCTGGGCGCGGGTTTGGGATTTAGGGAGGTTCAGGGTTTAGGGTTGAGGGTTTAGGGTTCAGGGTTTAGGGTTTAGGGTTTGGGGTTAGGGTTTGGGGTTTAGGGTTCAGGGTTTAGGGTTGGTGTCTTGGTGGGTCGGTTTTCTCATGGGAGACTACCTTGGACCCCTAAGGTTGTACCCTTGGGTTTGGGGACCCTTTTTCAAGATCCTGTAAGGGAATATAAAGGGGTGCATCGTTAGGAGTATATATTGAGGGAAGCCTCAAGCCCTTGATTTTCAGTTTTGGGATGTAGAGTTGGCGTTTGGGTCTGAGAGTCTGAACCTCTCGAATCTTATTCTTAAGGGATCGCCCTTTCTCATTCTTCTACAGCTTGGGCCCTTTTGGATTGCACCACAAATATTGAGCTCTGTATTACAAGAGACACCCCATGAGGGAGGCTAGTTTCAAGAGCCCGCCAAATCTTGTCACAGTAGGAACCTGCTGCTTTGGTGTTTGGCTCACCGCGGCTGTTGGTTGTGTAGATCGTTTTCCGAGTAGAGGGAGTGGGTTGCCGCTGTTCGCCCACATAGTTCTGGGTTTAGGGCCCAAGCCCTATTCCCCCAACCTTTCATGCCTACCTCGAGAAGGGTCCGCGATGCTTCCTATAGCTCGTTCTTGGAGATTGGAGCTAGGGAACCCTAAACCCTAAACCTTAGTCAAGGGTTCGAGTCCGAAATCAATATGCGTTGATCTCCTGGATCGGAGTGCCCCTTTGAAGCGTACCGACTGTGCTTGCGTTGGCCTTCCCTGCCTTTGGCTAGGGATCCGATGGCCGACGCCCTTAGCCCCGCGTGCCTGGCTCAGATGTATGTGCATGCGCACCCTGGAAGCCTTGCAGAGTCCCAAAAACCCTCAAGCTGAAGCTTAGCCCAAAACCGCTACACGCCCTACACCCTACAACCCCCCACACCATAAACCATAAAACCCTCTTTCCCTGCCCCCCCCATCCCAACCCAGCCTGAGGCGCTTCTGGGCGCACTTGCGAAACAAGTGGGCAGCTAAGGGGGCTTCGGCAGGAAGACGCAAGGCGTGGTTTTGGAATGTTTTGTGTGAATACTTACAATGTTGTTGTCTAATCCCTGTCTAGAAGAAGAGGCAAGCATTCTGGAGCCTAGAGAAAAACTTTTACAGCACAACCTAAAAGAAGCACATGAACGCTTCCCCTAAACCCCAAACCCTAAACCCTGAACAGAAACCTAAACCTTAAACCCTCAACCCTAAACCCCAAACCCTAAACCCTAAACAGAAACCTAAACCTTAAACCCTGAACCCTAAAACCCTCGCCTCTGCTCCAATCATGCTGCCCGGGCCCAAGCCACAGCAACCCATGCGCCGCAAATGCACCGACTCCCCACCTTGGTCAGGATCCCTAAACCCTAAACCCTAAACCCTAAACCCTAAACCCCAAACCCTAAACCCTAAACCCTACTGAGAAGGTCTTTGAAGTTTAGGGAGTTGCAGGACTTGCAGGGTTTATAGGGTTTAGGGTTTATGAGGTTTGTGGGGCTTATAGGGTTTTCTCGAGTTTACAGAGTTTATGGTTCAAAGGTTCGAGCTTCTTGAGGTTTACAGGGCTTTGTGGGAAAAGGGAGGGCTCAAGGTTTAGCGTTCAGGGCTTAGCGCCTTAAGCTCTCAACCTCGTCATCCCCCCCATGGAGTGCGAGCTGCCTGCTTACTCCGCGCCCACCCCCGCGACCTGTCCGCGGACCTCGGCTTTCCCCCGGCCTTCCCTCGCTCAACCTCGCGTCCTGGGCGCGCTCCTCACGCCGCTGCCGCTCTGCGTGGCCTGGCAGAGGCCACAAGGGTTTAGGGTTTAGGGTTTAGGGTTTAAGTTTTAAAAGTTTGGAGTCAGGATTGAGGCACAGTTTGAGGTAGGATCGTTCCAGGTTTAGGCTTATAGGGTTCGAGGTTCAGGATACAATGTTTGGCTCTGGGGTTGGAGGAGGGTTATCTTTGGTGTCGTGGGGGGCGGCGGGCTTGGAAAAAAACCCTCAACCCCTCCAAACAACCCTTAACCCTAAAACCCTCTCTGCCAGACTGTGCTTCTCTATTTTGAAGACCTGTCTTGTCCGTTTACAAGCCACAGGCAAGGGCACCCTGCTTGAAGCATCCCGAACCTTGCAAGTTTTCATTTACGGGTCTACCTTGACACGTGTACACAATTGATTGGAGCAATGAGTAGTGCAAAGTTTCACTGACAAGGCTCAGGAAATAGCCCTGCACTGAACATGAACCTCCAAGTCCGAAAAAACTAAGCGGATCCTACTATTTGGGGGTCTCTATTAGGGGTCCCTTATTGTCGTCTAACCCCACATGGGTCTAGACCCTAAACCCTAAACCCGAAACCCTAAACCCTAAACCCTACACCCTACACCCTACACCCTACACCCTAAACCCTAACCCTGAACCCCCCACCCCCACTCCCCAGGTGTAGGGTACGCCAACGAGCTCGGCGGCGGCGCCGAAATCGATTCGTAACTGTCGTGCAGGTGGCCTTGCGGTGGTTTTCAGAGGTTTAGAGGGCTGAAAGCGAGCCCAACACTCCTAAGTAAGGGAGTTTGCTACTCATTGTTGAAGAACCCCAAAAATCAAATAGATTCTTCCTTCTAAGGGCAGTCAGGGATTATTTCATTTTGTTGTTTTTTAAAGGGGGTTCTTACGCAAATAGTCGGTTATCTTCATTAAGAACCTGGGCCCCCCGAAAATCTTCAGGATTTCAGTTTCCTCCTACACCCTACCCCTACACCCTACACCCTAAACTCTCCTTTGCGTATAAATTCCTTCGGGAAGGAGGCGCCCTCATACTATCACAATCCTTCATCGTGATTCGAATAGGGGGGGGGGGGGGGTACTATAATCCCGATCAAGGATTGTTCGTATAAGGGGGAACATCCCAAGTTTAGGGTCTATTGTGAAGGCCTTCGAGCCCTGAGCCACGGCAGCCCTGCATCACAGCGAGGAAGAGCCGGAGCCACCCACAGATCAGGAGGCCGAGGCAGACGAGGCAAGCGTTTAGGGTTTGAGGTTCACCAGGTGTGGGGTTTGTTGGGGTTTAGGGTTTAGGGTTTCGGGTTTAGGGTTTAGGAGGGTTTGTAAGTTATGTGGGGTTCAGGGCTGTAGGGTTTAAGGTATGTTGGGTTAGGATTGTTGGGCTGTCATAGGGTTTTATGGTTTCAGCGTTATGGGTCCAGATGCGTTTTTTCTTTTATTGTTGGGGGGGGGGGGGGGGTTGGGTGAAGGTTTAGGGTAAAGGGTTGGTTCAGGGTTTAGGGTTTGTTTAGGGTTTAGGGTTTAGGGTTTAGGTTTGAGGGTTTGGGGTTCAGGGTTTAGGGTTTAGGGTGTGTAGTTGCAAGTCCAGTCACCAGTAGCCGTTCCCAGCTGACTGTTTCTTGGCTGCTGCACCGCTTTCAGTTCGTTTTGGGTTTGGGGTTTAGGGTGTAGTGTAGCCTCCGCCCTAAACCCCAAGCCCTAAACCCCAAACCCTAAACCCTAAACCCCAAACCCTAAACCCTAAGCCCTAAACCCTAAACTCTCTGACTGTGGGTTCGACAGGCGCTCCCCGAGCCGATCTTGGTGTTTTGGGATTTCGACAACAGGAGACTAAGCTGCCAGGACTTTGTATATGTATAGGGTTCAGGTTTAGGGTTTAGGGTTAAGGGTTAAGGGTTTAGGGTTCAGGGTAGGATTTTCAGGGCCTCACCGGGCACTGTAGCTACGTGGCATAGGCCCATTGCCGGATGGACCTGGAGCCTACACTTTTTTCTACCAATTGCTTAAGAGCCCCCCCCCAAAAAAAAAAAAACATATTCTTCTTTACAAGGGTAATATAGGGGTTCTTGTCTGTTCATTATAACTTGGGGGTTCTTAAGCAGGGAATGAGGGAATGAGGTACCCTATATAATCCCTTAAAGGGTATACATAGGGGGATATAGGGTACCTCATTCCCTTATTCCCTACTAAGCAACAGTAAGGAGTAGGCCCTTATTCCCCTTTTTGTTTAGGGGTTGTTTTGGTTGAGGGTTGAGGGCTAGGACCCAGAGCAGGCCCTTATTCCCATTTTTTCACTTCCCCAAACCCTGAATTACGTAGCCCCAAACCTACATAAACCTCTAAACCCTAAACCTGACCTCCCTAAAATCCCCCCAATCCCCCCTTTAAAAAAATGCATCCCATCTAGGGTTTAGGGTTTAGGGTTTCGGGTATACGGTTTAGGGTTCGGGTTTAGGGTTTAGGGTTTAGGGTTTAGGGTTTAGGGTTTAGGGTTTAGGGTTCAGGGTTTAGGGTTTAGGGTTTAGGGTTTAGGGTTTAGGGAAGCCTCTAAAAGGAAGCTTCCGCCGGACGTCAGCCTGGCAGCTTCCGTGGCCATCCTGGCGGAGCGCTTTCTTCGCGCTCGCCCGCGGTCGGTGCACCTGCCACCTCGGCGCGGTTTAGGGGTAAGTTCCTAAACCCTAAACCCTAAACCCTAAACCCTAAACCCTAAACCCTAAACCCTAAACCCTAAACCCTAAACCCTAAACCCTAAACCAAACCCTATAGACCCTAAACCGGCTTCTTGTGTATACGGGCTCGGAATTGAGGATGGTTGCTTGCACTCGGGGTTTAAGAAGGGGCCCTGGTGCGAACAGTTCCTGGAAGGAAACTTGAAAAGCGCGATGATGGGCGTTTGATCTAAAGGTCTCTGGGTAATTGTCTAGTGTTCCCATAGGGGAAGAATAGGGTAATTTGGGGCACAGGTATGTTGATGAACTCCCATATAAGTTCCCTGGGATCATGGTTCATAAGCCCTCACGTCTCCGACACCCTTGAATCCCTAAAGTCCCAAGCCCTATTTTAGGTTATAGGGTATAGGGCTGAGGGTTTAGGGTATGGGGTTTCGGGTGCCTACGCCCCCGAAAACCTCAGGTACGCGAGCCACAAGACCGTGAAGACTCTGGGGCGGCACGAGTACGACCTCTTGCAGTCGGCCCTGGGCGGGGCCTGGTCGCGAGACCTTCGTGAATCTCTGGAGAGTCTCCCGGAGACTTGGGCCCCTGACAGGGTATGGGTTTAGGGTTTGGGGTTTTAGGGGCTAGGGCTAATACTTGAAAGCCCTTGTTGACCTAGTAAGGAGGGTGAATAAAGGGTTCTAGGGGACGTGAAGTGGACTTACCAAGTCAAAAGAGCTTCTGAGTATAGGTTATCTAGGACCTCATTCCTTTGTTTTCGGATCTTAGGTTCCTATATAAGCCCCTTTACGAACCAAAAAGGGCACCCTTTGCATTCCTAGGCTACTGTTGGGACTTCGGGCTTTTTTCGTTCTTTAGGTCGCCCTGCGTTGCTTTTCCAGAAGAAGCATGAATTGCCAAAAGGATCTTTCTTGTTTCCTAGAAACCCTCAACCCTCAATCCTAAACCCTAAGCCCTAAACCCTATACCCTAAACCCTAAACCCTCAACCCTAAACCCTAAACCCTAAACCCTTCGGCAAGGAGACAGCACCCAATGGGGTTCGAATCAACTTGGTCCAGGATGGTGCCGAAGCGCAACTGGGTAGAGCTGAACAGTACTTGGAGGTTCATGGTACGTATTAACCAACCACCCCCCCCCCCCTAAAATAAAAAAAGAAAAACAAAAGTGCCCGACTTATTATGGTCCAAAACCCTAAACCCTAAACCCTAGACCCTAAACCCTAAACCCTAAACTTTAAACCCCAAACCCTAAACCCCAAACCCTAAACCCTAAACCCCAAACCCCAAACCCTAAACCCTAAACCCTAAACCCTAGGCCACGGCCCGCTTCCGTGACCATCACCCCATCTCAGCCACAAGCCGCGGATTGCCTCCTGGTGCGCGATGTCCTGCAGCTGGTTGCTCCCATATCTGTGGATGCCTCCCAAGGCACAGGGTTTAGGGTGGATGGGGTTTAGGGTTTAGGGTTTAGGGTTCAGGGTTTAGGGTTTAGGGTTTAGGGTTTAGGGTGGATGCCTCCCAAGGCACTGTGTGCCTCGTCTCGGACGACTCTGACTTTGCCAAGGTAATCCTTGACATACACCACAGTGGCTGGAAGGTTGCGGTGGTGAGCAGTCCCAACAGCTGGACGCTTCGACGGCGGAGCGACTATTGGATGGATTGGACTGAGTTCTGTGCCAGCCTGCCCGGCACTGGTACTGCTGCACCAGCCTATTCCTTTCACGGGATGGAAGTCCTCCGAGACAATGTGGATATCTCTGCACATGCCGTTGCTAACAGCAACAGGCGTGTGTGGAGGGATATGAGGAGCAGAGACCATCGCTTCCGGAAGACGTCTGATGACAACTGACCTTACCGCCTGATTTCCCGGGGTGGTGCGCAGTACGGGTCAATCTGGGCACGGCACGGCTTGATGCGGGAGACCCTTCCTTGAAGCCACTCCTCCATCCACGCGCGGCTCGCCGCGCAAATGGCATGGCTGCTACCCCAAAGCCAGCACGTAGATTCAGAGGAGGAAGTTGTGACCCTAAACTGCAAGGCTGCGTCAGCTTCTACAACGTTCTGGGATCAAGCCTGGAATCTCGAGCATTCGTGACCCTAAAGGCGGACTGCCCAGGGCATTTCTGTGAGGTCTTCGGGTCGAGGACTCATGAGGGGGGGGGCAGAAAACCCGAAGCCCTGAAACCCCGAAACCTAGAATCCTAAGCCCTAACCCCAACCGCGAGGGCCCACCTCTTCTGCCCTGCAGCCCTAAGCCCCCCAAGCCCAGACACTTCCCAAAGCCCTCAGCCGTATGGAGCCCTCGACCGGCACAACTGTCCAAAAGATGAGCCTCTCAGAGGGATCTGCGGGGGAGAGCAGGGGTTGTCAGCAGGGGGGGGGGGGGGCTATAAGGCTTGTGAAGTCCTCAGTCTTTGTGCTTTGTGTTGAGATTACGAAAAACGGGGGTTCCTGAGCAGCCTTTTTACCCTCCCGCAGCTGTTCCTGATCAGCTGTGTCGCATTGAGATCGGTCGCAGAGGGGGTTTGGGGTTTGGGGTTTAGGGTTTAGGGTTACTTCCCGAAGCCCTAAAACCAACTCTTCCCCCAGAACCCTAAAATCCCAAACCCAGGGTTCTCGTGGTCTGGGGTTGGAATGTTCCCCCTGATGCTAACAGTCCTTGATAGGGATTATAGGGCCCCCTATTGTTAGTATAAGGGGGAACATCCCAAGTCTACGGTTGAGTCTTGAACAAGCCGCATAGTGGAGTCCAGGGGTACCCTTTGTTGCACTTGTTTTTGTTCAAGGTTTCCCTTAGAATTTATAAAGTAACCAACCTAGAAAGGGTTTAGGGCTTAGGTTTTAGGTTTTAGGGTTTAGGGTTTAGGGTTTAGGATTTAGGGTTTAGGGTTTAGGGTTTAGGGTTTAGGGTTTAGGGTTTAGGGTTACCATGGTTCCGGGGCCTCCAAACTTCTTCACTTCTGACCTTTCAGCAATATCATGGAGGGCCGGTTTACGAAATTAGGGGGTACCTTCTTGGGGTCCTTTTCACAAGGGGATCCAAACCCTAAACCCTAAACCCTAAACCCCAAACCCTAAACCCTAAACCCTAAACCCTAAGCCTACCAATTCGGGGACTCAATTAGGGGTCCCTAATTTTCTCAAAACCCCATGTGGGTCCGAGGTACGGCACCCGCATGGGCTCCGTCTTGCAGCTGTTGGGGCCCCAACTGACGGTCTTCAGGGTTTAGCGTTTATAGGGTTTAGGGTTTAGGGTTTAGGGTTTAGGGTTTAGGGTTTAGGGTTTAGGGTTTAGGGTTTGCTTTGTTCAGACTGTCACATCAACCATGTCGTTCTCAAAATGTTGAAAAGTATGAACCGGTCGGGGTCGTGGAGTCAACATTGAGGGTGTTTTCGACCTTGGCATGGCTTTTGGCGTCTGTGGTCTAAGGACCCTACACCCAAAGCCTTATAATCCCTAAACCTGACAATCCCTAAACCCTAAACCTTTTAATCCCTGAACCTGATAATCCCTAAGCCCTACAACTTACAAGCCCTAAGCCCTACTTGGAGGTTCATCAACCAATTGTAACTGTACTTTTAACCCACGTATGAGCCCGTTATCTGTCCTAACATGGTTATAAGTACCCGAAACCCTCAACCCTAAACTCCAAACCCCTACAGTAAACCCCAAAAAGTTGGAACATCGTTATCCCCATCCCCCACAAGGTAGCCGAAAGGGAATCCCAGCTCTAATCATCCTCAAACCATGTTCCAACTTTCTGGAGTTTACTTTAAGCCCCATGCACCTCCAAAGTAGGGGTTCAGTGTCAAGGTTTAGGGTTTAGGGTTTAGGGTTTAGGGTTTAGGGTTTAGGGTTTAGGGTTTAGGGTTTAGGGTTTAGGGTTTAGGCTTCGGTCTTCAACTTCGAATGCATTCTTGACACTTCGCGTCTGTCGAGTTGTGCCCGAGCGCCCCAAAGCCTTGAAATTCTCAAACCCGAAAAGGGTTAGGGTTTAGGGTTTAGGGTTTAGGGTTTAGGGTTTAGGGTTTAGGGTTTAGGGTTTAGGGTTTCAGGGTTTAGGGTTTCAGGGTTTCAGGGTTCAGGGTTGCAGGGTTTCAGGGTTGCAGGGTTGCAGGGTTTCAGGGTTTCAGGGTTTCAGGGTTTCAGGGTTTCAGGGTTTAGGGTTTCAGGGTTTCAGGGTTTAGGGCATCCGAACAAAACCCGAAAAAACCTCACGAAAACGGCAGGCTCCAGATCTTGGAGCGCCTCCTACAGCCCAGGCGCTGAGGGCCTTAAAGGGGTTTAGGGTTTGAGGCTTAGGGTTCAGGGTTTAGGGTTAGGATTTAAGGCTTAGGCCTTAAATGGGTTTAGGGTTTGGGGTTTAGGGTTTAGGGTTTGAGGCTTAGGGTTCAGGGTTTAAGGTTCAGAGTTGAGGGTTTAGGGTTTAAGGCTTAGGGTTCAGGGCTTAGGCACTTGAGGGCTTGAGGGTTTTTTAGACCAGAAGTTTGAGAGTTCGAGGGCTTGAGGTGTTTAGTACTTTGGGGCTTAGAGGTTGAGGGGTCGAGGGTTTGGCAATCCAAATAAAGCATATGCCCAATGTACACCTCATATCTAAAGCTTCTAGCTTGTGGCGGATGGGTTTAGGAGATTTGGGGCGTTTGAGTAGGCGAGAGGGATCCCATGTGGTTCTTCATTCTATCAATGCGCCGTGGGTTTAGGGTTTAGCGTTTAGGGTTTAAGATTATAAGACTCATAATGAGTGCTCAAAGACCACACAAGTTGCCTGATACAAGAAGTGAAGGGCAAGTTTGGGCTTTTAGGGTTTAGGGTTTAGGGTTTAGGGTTTAGGGTTTAGGGTTTAGGGTTTAGGGTTTAGGGTTTAGGGTTTAGGGTTTAGGGTTTAGGGTTTAGGGTTTAGGGTTTAGGGGATCGCTTCTAACGGTGAACTCTCCTTCATATGGAATCGTCTCCTTGTTCCTTTCCTTCGTTCCATATTAAGTTGACTTGCAAGGAAACGCGCGAAGCCATTTGATATCGAACCAAAGGAAACAGACACGGGGACGAAGCCGCATCAATGTGGGTTTTTAAAGGAGATTCCGGAAGGTTAGACAGGCGGGTGGGGTCCCGAAGGCAAACCCCCGTTAAATTATCGTCTTTATCAGCCGTTCCTATAAGTCCTAAACCCAAAACCCAATTCTACAAGCAGACCGTACCCCTTCACACATGGAAACCTCGAAAAGGAGCCAGATTCCTCAGTCAGCATGTGTTGTTTTACTCAAAGCAAGGGGATACTTAACGAACCATGTGATCTATTTGCATAGTACTGTTCGAGGGGCGTTTAACAAAACAACGCTGTTCGTTATTGTTCTGCAGGAGTGTTGTTTTGGGTCGGTAAATACCCAAAGGAATGTCATGTTCATTCTGGCTCTATGGGGAGTACCTTGGACCCTCAACCCAAACTCTAAACCCCATACTCGGACCCAGACTAGGCCCTTTTTGACTTTTGCTAGGGCTGTTAGGGCTTAGGTTCCCTTTCAAGCCCCTTCAATCGAAAACGGGCACGCTTTTATATTCCTAGGTTACTCTTGGGTCTAGTGTAAACCTCATGTTACTCTACACATCCCAGAACCCTATGCTAGGTAGGCCCTTGGGATATTTTGTTTTGGCATTTTGGGGTTTAAGAGGATCATTTTCAGGAATATTTTCAGAGGGTGACCCTACACCCGAAACCCTAAATCCTAAACCCTAAACCCTAAATCCTAAACCCTTATAAATCCCAGTATATAATTTCTTTCGCAGGCGTGTTGTGGTGCTCCGCTTCGAGGGCGAGGCCGTAATGGCGACGGCGCGGGGAGCTCAGATGAACGGGTTTACTTCGGGGTTTGTTTAGGGTTTAGGGTTTAGGGGTTTGTGAAGGGTTTCGGAGGGGAGTTGTGGGGTTTTGGGTTCTTGAGGGTGTAGGTTGTTAAGGCTTGTTGGGTTTACATGCCTGCAACCCTCCTGCCTAAAATCCATTGAAACGCAGCAACGCATTGTTTCGGGACGCCCTAGAACCCCAAACCCGAAAGCTCCTCACGGATTGAGCAGCTTGAGCAGCAACATCGGGGCAGAAGTGGGTTAAAACCCCTAAACCTAAACCCGCAACCTTAGAAACTTAAAAACCATAGCCCTTCCAACATTTTTTTAGCTGAAGGTATCTGGGTCTGGGACTGATCTAAATATTGTGCCCTCTTCGCGGCTACAATAGATCAACAGATGAGATAAGTCTGATAATGGAGAATGCTTTGCAGACGTGCGACTTGTCCGACAAGAAAAATAAGTTTCCAGCGGAATGATCTCAACAAGACAAACCCTGAACCCGAAACCTAAACCCTAACACTCAGTCCGCGCCATCTCAAGCAGGCATCTCGTGAAGTAGACCACTCAAAAAAGTCTTTGCGACCGCACCCCACAGCCTGAACCCGAATTCCTCCGCGCAAGCTTCAGCTTTAAAAGCACTTCTATCAGGCTTGCCACACGTGGCCTCCCATGGCCTCACGCGTTTGCAACGCCTGTGCGCAGCCAGCCACGAAGATCTGCAGTCGGTGTAGATGCCGGCACTACTGTAGTGAGAGATGCCAACGCGAGGACTGGCGCAGCCACAAGCAGTACTGCAGGAAGCCCCCAAGCAAATCGGAAGAGATCGAGGCTTTGAAGCATCTGTGGTTTGGGCCAGGCGCGGCAACTGCTGAAAGCCGAGATTCCTGGCAGCGATTCTTGCAGCATGCAGGTGGTTCATGTGAACCATCCGATATCACCAAGGTGGACGTTCAAAAGCTGGAGAAGATAGTCATGGATGAAATCAAAGCCAGGATGCCAGCCGATCTAGAACCAGATCCGGTGGGCTACCCCATTCATGTTGTGAAGCAGTTGCGCGTGCTGCCCTCGTTGCCCTTGATGGATGATGAGTTTGTCATGTCCTTCTCCACCTTCGGTCACATGGATCACCGTGGCCACCTGCTCTATTGCATCATGTGCATGTCCAACCGGACGGAGCAGGTACGTGCTGTGAGTACCTGCTCTGGGGCTCCGACAGCCACCGAGTGCCAATCAGTTTTGTTCACCGCCATGATCAAGCCGATGCCCCTCACGGGTGACCCCATGCGCCCAAGCCAGGTGCTCTTGGCCAACCGCTGGGGCCCTGACACCTATGAGACCTTGCGGCCCTTCCTGATTGAGCATGGCGTCGGCATCCGGCTCGAGTCCGAGGCTGAGGCCAAGTTGTCAGCAGCCATGCAGGACGTCGACTCGAACGGTTTCAACGTGTGAGATTTTGCGCCCGGGGCAGGCGCAAAAGCTTCGAGCTCCAACTCATGTCGCAAGGTAGCGCTTACCCCTCCCTCTAGTAACTGCCCCTTCCCGCCCCCCCCCCCCGTGTGCAGCTTAAATAGGGTCTATTTGGAAGCTGGGAATCGTATTTACAAGAGGAAAACAGGCCCCAAAACGTATACTTATTCACAAGAGCCATGTTCCAAATAGACCCTATTTTAGGTCCTGTAGGGTTGCACAGACAGAATTTAATTCATTAAATTCCTTAATTTCCACTTTCCCCCTGGAATTTAATGAATTTAATCAATTAATTCAATTAATTCATTTATTTCCAAAGGGGGGGGGGTGGAATTAATTGAATTAGTTGAATTAATTGAATTAATTGAATTAATTGAATTAATTGAATTAATTGAACCCCCCCCTTTGGAAATAAATGAATTAATTGAATTAATTGAATTAATTGAATTAATTGAATTAATTCAATTAATTCAATTAATTCCACCTCCCCTTTGGAAATAAATGAATTAATTGAATTAATTGAATTAGTTGAATTATTTCGATTAATTCAATTAATTCAATTAATTCATTTATTTCCAAATGGGGGGGATTCCCCAGCCCCCACCCCTCCCCTCCCTTTGGAAATACATGAATTAATTGAATTAATTCAATTAATTCAATTAATTCAATTAATTCAATTAATTCATTTATTTCCAAAGGGGGGGTGGAATTAATTGAATTAATTTAATTAATTGAATTAATTTAAATTAATTCAATTAATTCAATTAATTCAATTAATTCAATTAATTCATTTATTTCCAAATGGGGGGGATTCCCCAGACCCCACCCCCCCAGCTCGATTTGGCCAAATTTTGCCCGGAGGCTGCCCGGCAAAATTTGGCCAAATCGAGCCGCGCCTTTCTGGAGGCCCGAAATTATTTAAACTATCGCGGCTCGATTTGGCCAAATTTTGCCGGGCAGCCTCCGGGCAAAATTTGGCCAAATCGAGCCACGCATTTCTCATCGCATACGAAGGGCAGCCCGATTTGGCCAAATTTTGCCCGGAAGCTGCCCGGCAAAATTTGGCCAAATCGAGCCGCGATAGTTTAAAAATTTCGGGCCTTCAGAAAGGCGCGGCTCGATTTGGCCAAATTTTGCCCGGAGGCTGCCCGGCAAAATTTGGCCAAATCGAGCCGCGCATTTCTCATCGCGTTCGACGAGCAGCCCGATTTGGCCAAATTTTGCCCGCAGACTGCCCGGCAAAATCTGGCCAAATCGAGCCGCGCCTTTCTGGAGGCCCGAAATTATTTAAACTATCGCGGCTCGGTTTGGCCAAATTTTGCCGGGAAGTCTGCGGGCAAAATTTGGCCAAATCGGGCTGCTCGTCGTACGCGCTGAGAAATGCGCGGCTCGATTTGGCCAAATTTTGCCGGGCAGCCTCCGGGCAAAATTTGGCCAAATCGAGCCGCGCATTTCTCATGGCATACGAAGAGCAGCCCGATTTGGCCAAATTTTGCCCGCAGGCTGCCCGGCAAAATTTGGCCAAATCGAGCCGCGATAGTTTAAATAATTTCGTTCAATTAGTTCATTCATTTCCAAATGGGGGGGATTCCCCAGCCCCCACCCCCCCCCCTTTGGAAATCAATGAATTAATTGAATTAATTGAATTAATTGAATTAATTGAATTAATTGAATTAATTGAATTAATTGAATTAATTCAATTAATTCATTTATTTCCAAAGGGGGGGTGTGGAATTAATTGAATTAATTGAATTAATTGAATTAATTGAATTAATTGAATTGATTCAATTAATTCAATGAATTCAATTAATTCAATTAATTCAATTAATTCAATTAATTCAATTAATTCAATTAATTCAATTAATTCAATTAATTCAATTAATTCAATTATTTCCAAATGGGGGGGTTCCCCAGCCCCCACCCCTCCCCCCCCTTTGTAAATAAATGAATTACTTGAATTAATTGAAATAATTGAATTAATTCAATTAATTAAATTAATTCCACCTCCCCTTTGGAAATAAATCAATTAATTGAATTACTTGAATTAATTCAATTATTTCAATTAATTCAAGTAATTCATTTATTTCCAAATGGGGGGTGGGGGCTGGGGCATCCTCCTCCCCCCAATACTAAACCACGAGCCCGGGCCTCCCCCCAATACTAAATCACGAGCCCGGGCCTCCCCCCAATACTAAATTACGAGCCCGGGCCTTCCCGCAATACTAAATCACGAGCCCGGGCCTCCCCCCAATACTAAATCACGAGCCCGGGCTAAATCACGAGCCCGGGCCTCCAAATTACGAGGCCGGGCCTCCCCCCAATACTAAATCACGAGCCCGGGCCTCCCCCCAATACTAAATCACGAGCCCGGGCCTCCCGCAATACTAAATCACGAGCCGGGCCTCCCCCCAATACTAATTTACGAGCCCGGGCCTCCTCCCAATACTAAATCACGAGCCCTCCTCCCCCCAATACTAGGGCACAGTTTTTGCTCCAAAAAGTGACATCGCAAGCCCTGGTCCCTAAGATTTTGAGCTCATTTCTTGCCCCAAAGAGTAACATCGCAAGCCCTGGTCCCTAAGATTTTGGGCTCATTTCTTGCCCCAAAGAGTAACATCGCAAGCCCTGGTCCCTATTATTTGGGGCCCAGTTTGTGCTCCAAAGAGTCAAATCGCAAGCCCTGGTCCCTAAGATTTTGGATTCAGTTTTTTGCTCCAAAGCAAGCCCTGGTCCTTAAGATTATGGGCTCATTTCTTGCTCCGAAGAGTCAAATCGCAAGCCCTGGTCCCGAAGATTTCGGGTTCAATTTTTGCTCCACAGAGTCAAACCGCAAGCCCTGGTCCCTAAGATTTGGGGCACAGTTTTTGCTCCAAAGGGTCAAATCGCAAGCCCTGCTCCCTAAGATTTTGGGCTCATTTCTTGCCCAAAAGAGTGACATCGCAAGCCCTGGTCCCTAAGATCTTGGGCCCAGTTGCTCCAAAGAGTCAAATCGCAAGCCCTGGTCCCTAAGATTTTGGGCCCAGTTTTTGCTCCAAAGGGTCAAATCGCAAGCCCTGGTCCCTAAGATTTTGGGTTCAATCTTTGCTCCAAAGAGTAACATCGCAAGCCCTGGTCCCTAAGATTTGGGGCCCAGTTTTTGCTCCGAAGAGTCAAATCGCAAGCCCTGGTCCCTAAGATTTTGGGTTCAATTTTTGCTCCAAAGAGTGACATCGCAAGCTCTGGTCCCTAAGATTGGGGGCCCAGTTTTTGCTCCAAAGAGTGACATCGCAAGTCCTGGTCCCTAAGATTTTGGGTTCAATTTTTGCTCCAAAGAGTGACATCGCAAGCCCTGGTCCCTAAGATTTGGGGCCCAGTTTTTGCTCCAAAGAGTAACATCGCAAGCCCTGGTCCCTAAGATTTTGGCCCAGTTTTTGCTCCAAAGAGTCAAATCGCAAGCCCTGGTCCCTAAGATTTGGGGCCCAGTTTTTGCTCCAAAGAGTGACATCGCAAGTCCTGGTCCCTAAGATTTTGGGTTCAATTTTTGCTCCAAAGAGTGACATCGCAAGCCCTGGTCCTTAAGATTTTGGGTTCGTTTTTTGCTCCAAAGAGTGACATCGCAAGCCCTGGTCCCTAAGATTTGGGGCCCAGTTTTTGCTCCAAAGAGTCAAATCGCAAGCCCTGGTCCCTAAGATTTTGGGTTCATTTTTTGCTCCAAAGAGTGACATCGCAAGCCCTGGTCCCTAAGATCTTGGGCCCAGTTTTTGCTCCAAAGAGTCAAATCGCAAGCCCTGGTCCCTAAGATTTTGGGTTCAATTTTTGCTCCAAAGAGTCAAATCGCAGGCCCTGGTCCCTAAGATTTTGCATTCATTGTTGCTCCAAAGAGTGACATCGCAAGCCCTGGTCCCTAAGATCTTGGGCCCAGTTTTTGCTCCGAAGAGTCAAATCGCAAGCCCTGGTCCCTAAGATTTTGGGTTCAATTTTTGCTCCAAAGAGTCAAATCGCAAGCCCTGGTCCCTAAGATTTGGGGCCCAGTTTTTGCTCCAAAGAGTCAAATCGCAAGCCCTGGTCCCTAAGATTTTGGGTTCATTTTTTGCTCCAAAGAGTGACATCGCAAGCCCTTGTCCCTAAGATTTTGGGCCCAGTTTTTGGTTCAAAGAGTCAAATCGCAAGCCCTGGTCCCTAAGATTTTGGGTTCAATTTTTGCTCCAAAGAGTCAAACCGCAAGCCCTGGTCCCTAAGATTTGGGGCCCAGTTTTTGCTCCAAAGAGTCAAATCGCAAACCCTGCTCCCTAAGATTTTGGGCACAGTTTTTGCTCCAAAGAGTCAAATCGCAAGCCCTGGTCCCTAAGACTTTGGGTTCAATTTTGCTCCAAAGAGTGACATCGCAAGCCCTGGTCCCTAAGATTTGGGGCCCAGTTTTTGCGCCAAAGAGTAAAATCGCAAGCCCTGGTCCCTTAGATTTTTGGGTCGATTTTTGCTCCAAAGAGTCAAATCGCAAGCCCTGGTCCCTAAGTTTTCGGGGTCGATTTGTGCTCCACAGAGTCAAATCGCAAGCCCTGGTCCCTAAGATTTCGGGGTCGATTTGTGCTCCACGGAGTCAAATTGCAAGCCCTGGTCCCTAAGATTTTGGGCCCAGTATTTGCTCCAAAAGGTGAAATCGCAAGCCCCGGTCTTTAAGATTTTGGGCTCATTTCTTGCTCCAAAGAGTAACATCGCAAGCCCTGGTCCCTAAGATTTTGGAATCGATTTTTGCTCCAAAGAGTCAGATCGCAAGCCCTGGTCCTAAAATGTTGGGCTCAATTTTTGCTTTTCCCTTCTCTTCTGCTTCCTTTTAACTGATAAAACACAAGAAAGGAACTCATATGATAAAGCAGTGGAAAGGTAAGCAGAGGGTGACTCCTTGCGCGTGAGCCTTTCCATAATACTCCATCATATTCATCCTCTCGGCCTATCTCTTCTGTTCCTTTCCTTACTCTTCTCCTTCTCATAGTTCTTCCTTTTTG